GGGGTTTAGTGCTCGGCCGTTCCCCTATGAAAAAGGTATTTTTTTTTCCCCCCCCCCCCCCCCCCACCCCCAACTTTTTTTTTGTACACCATAGCTATATGCCATTAGACAATGTATGGTTTCACCTTGCACATATGACAGCAAGGTGATCTTTCTAGCAAGAGCCTAATTGCATGAGAATGTTCAGAAGCATCTAGCCCATGGTTTGTTCTGAACTTTGTCTCTGGAGACAAAAGGTGCACTACTATTATAGGTGTATTTTGTTGTTGAATATCAGTCAATCTTTCCACTTACCGTGAGGAGAGCTATTGCAACCTGGATGCTGAGGAAAATGGGAAGAAGACCAAACAACATTAGTGCCTCAAACACTATTCCAGATGTGCCTTTTCTCTAAACACTCTGCAGAAATGCAATGAAGTGGCTGTCCAAATGATATCCCACTGCTTGTTGAAGAGAAGGCACATCTAGAAGCTGGAGCAGAGCTTGACAGGGAGATTCCTAAAATGCATATTCCTGACTGATCTTGAGCAAGCTAAGTAATCTCAGTTTTACTCATCTAGATATGGCAGAGGCAGTCTAATCACCAATGGTTTTGTCTGATTTAAAAATATCCCCAATTTTTGGTTAAAAAAGTAACCCTATATCCACTTTTTTCAGTGATTTAAATGAAACACCAATATATAAATATATGTATATATTTTAATCATGGAAAAATGTAGATTTGGGGTTAGGTTTTTTTTTAAACTGAAAATTGGGGATTCTTTTTGCATCAGAAAAAAAAACAGGATCCCTGTGATCACTGGACAGATTCCTAAAAGGGAACTTGGCAAATTAGGGATAGGTTTCAAGGCCTCTCGTTAACTAAAGGGGTATGTTGAACCAAAGGCTCTTTGGGGAAGGATTCTTCCCAGTTCCAGGTTTGCACAAGGCTTGCACAGTGGGACAGGGGTCTTCAGGGGTTGCTGTAATATAAATAGTAAAATGCAGGCTCTGACTTCTTTGGCTATGTGCCATACCTGAGTGCTATTGCAAAGCACAGCTAGTTCACTGGTTCTTGCTTGCAAACATGCAACAATGCAGATGCCTTTGAGGAGCTTTGAGCTTGCAAGACCCAATCTCAGCTTGTGGGCTTGGCGTTACTCTCAGGATGCTGCAGTGCCTCATTTTCAGGATTTGGTGTGATGCAGTGGGTGAAGGGAGTGTGCTTCATAGGAGTGCTCCTGGGCTCCAGAAGCCACACTTCATCTCTGTCTCAATTCACCCATGTTGTTTTGGCCTTCAATAGAAAGCAAGCCTTGTCTTTTTGGCCTGTGAGCTCTTAGGAGCAAGATTTCTCTGATCCTGGGTTTGTACAGCAGTTGAGACTTGGACTAGGTGTGGGGCCTCATGGTGTTACTGTAGTCTGCATAAACAAACAGAAGTAAGGCCACACAAGGTTTGTAAAGTGATCTGAGGTTATCAGTTTACATATCTTGGCCACGGTTCTTTGGTACTCCTTGCACAGCCACAGTACCCTTTATCATAATTGCACAACTTCACATATATTTAGTTATTCAAAGGTGTACAAAGGCCCATATGTACAGAATGCAGTCTAGTGCTATATCCTGCACCCCCCACCTCCCTGCCACAGCTAACTTGACACCTTAATGATTAAAATTGTCGGTGGTGTTTGAAATCAAGTATGTGTTAGACAAACCATTATCCTTGGTGGTTATGTTTCTGCACTTGTTAGCCGAGAAGCTCATGGGTGTGCCCGCTTGTCCTGCTCCAATGCATCAGTTCCTGTTGGTAGTGAATCTATGGCAACCTGCTTAGTAACTAGAACACACGAGCACTGAATGACTTTCCACATCAGGCAGGAAAAGGAGCAGGATTTCTGAAGCTGTGCTGACAAGATTCAATACTCTTTATAACGCGTAAGTTCAATAAATCCCTTTCCTGGAACTGCTTGTTTAAGTAGCTGAAACTTCTCTTATAGACTCTTCTCTGGTCTGTGCTTTCTCCTGCCTACTTTGTACCCACTGGGAGACTAAACAGGGAACTTCACTCTTTCCCCCTTCCTCCCCTTATGCCAATAGGTGTCCCCAGCATCATATTCACTCAGAAACTAGTTTAAATGGAACATTAAAAATAAAATGAATTTGATAGTTAACACGGACAATAATTTAAAATTCATGATGTCAACAATCTTTTGGTGTCACAGTTTGAGAATCAGTTGATTACGTAAAGAAAGCTATCCATATAATTTCTGTTATTTAGTCTGATAATATTTGCAGAGGTGATTATGGTTTATGATCTGGGTCTGGTGGTTATTGTTTAAAGAAACTTTTGTTCATGGAATTTGCTGAACTATCACAAGGTTTACCATCATTTTTGTTCTGTATCATTACATTTGTTTGTCAAAAATGGTATCATTTTTAAAAGCACAGATACATCACAGCCTCGGTTTCATTTTCAAAAGCAATTTAAACACCTGGAAGATTAAGCCCTATTGACTTTCAGTGTGAAAATTTTCCCCCACATGTGCAAACATCTCTGAGGTGTTATACAAGCTTGGCTGGAAGTCTATGCTAAATCTTGCCACATTACTGGCAGTTACACTTATGTTGTCATTTTTACCATGACAGCCACAGAATAGTTACCTCTTCACTTGTCACATCTGAGCATGATTTATTTCTCTTGGCAAAGCATTGTCTGTCATTATAAAACAGGATGGAACATTAGATCAAAATATTTCCCATTTAAACATCACTATAAATCACACATGAGTAACAGGCAACTGTAATCTAGCATAATATTCAGTCTTTGAGTTTACTCAGCTGTACCTGCAATTTTGTTTGTTTGTTTGGGGAGGGGGGGCACAAAATCTGGAAGGTTGGGCTGGAGACAGTCTGCAGGTGGGAACCTTCTCAGGTGCGGCAGGAGGTGGCACAAGTCTGAGAGTCCCAGGATGGCATCAGAGCACTGTCCTAATAAGGACTAGTTGTAAAACTGGTGTAAAAAATCCCATGGCACTTTTCCTAAGACTTTCCATTTTCATATAGGTACCTCTAAGGTTCTCACCCTGTAGTGTAATGGTCTAATTCAAAGCCTGTTAAAGTTGATGGAAAAATTCAATCAGTTTTTGCTGGAATAAGGTTGTTAACCCCCACAAATACTTTTTGGCCTACCTAAATTGCATTCTGGACAATTATATTCAACCTACATAAATTCTGCCTGTGATTTCAATGGAATACATTATTCTCCATTTCCTGTTGCTCTGCACTATTACAGTGCTGTTGCATTCACCCCTGAAGTGGCTAAATTTCAGTGGAAAGTGAAGTTCTGATCCATTCTCTTATATAAGAAATGCATTAGTTAATAAATATTTTTCATTTCTTAGTGAGCCACTGGCAAGTGGTTGGCTATTGTAGTAATGAATTAGCTATATTGTAGACTAGATTAAATCCTTGGTATCTGGTGTATATTCATCTCAAGCACCAGCAATGTCATTATTCCCTGTTTTAGGTAGCTGGTTCTGTGGGGAATGGATCAGTCCTTGTTTGCAGATCACAAGTACTGCAGCGTGATGACAGTACACGATAAAGTCTCATGCACCAACTTCATAACTCATGGTGATCCTTTCTCCAGTGGATTCTTCATCACGCATCCTGCCTGGGTTACCAGCTCCCTTAGCCCTGTAAGGTAAAGTTGCTGTTTGTGTCTGCAGTTTGCTTTCTCATGCTCAGTCTCTGCTAATAAGAAACAAAAGTATAAAGGCTTCTGATTGACTGGCAAACTAAACATAATTAGAGTTTTGCTTTGTATTTTTTCCTTGTCAGCTTTTTAGAATGTTCTTGTCCAAAACTATCTTGCAACATTGTGGACAACTGAAAGCAACTAGTAAGCCTGCTAGGTAAAAAAAACAGTCTTCTAGTATTATACAGATGCCTAAAATCTCAATGTGCCTAACAACCATCCTCTGTGAAGCTGTCCTCATGATGTTTTGGGACAGTACATTTCCTTTCTGTGTTGAGCCTAAGCCAGTCACCAGTGGTCAACTTGACTTTACTGAACTGCTTTTCTCTGTCTTTTCCTTTTACTGTGTTTATCCTTCCCTACTGTGGCCCACCATAAGCTATTAGCCCTGACCTAGCCCTAGCCCAATCCTCAGGTCCAGCTAAGCTGTGCTTAGTTCAGGATAGCTTTGTGGCTGGTACCTTTCTGTCTCCTGATTTCAGCCAGCCAGGAACCAATTTGCTCACAGCAGGAGCAAGACTGACTGCTGCTCTAAGTCGCATCAGCCCAGAATCGCAGGATTTTCCTACTGTTAAGTAGCTGGTTATACCACTTTTCCACCTGCTTTGCACAATGGGAACAGCAGAAAGCAGGTGTCTGGTTCTGGCCCTGGGAGGTGTTCTTCACCTGACTTAGGGAAGTGATTTTCTCCTAACAGTAATCCACTGCTTTTTAATTCAAGGTGCTCATGGATCAGGCACTGTCCCTGTTTCCCTGAAACAATATGTAAGGGTCTCATGGTGCTGGAAAAATCTCTGGACTTTGCTAATGTTCCTGTTCTGGCAAGAAGGAAGTCAGATGGGTTTTATTACCAAGGTACAATAAAGCAGGAGATCAAGGTAAGTGACTGTAGTGTTTTCTATCCTGCGTGGATAATGTAGTGTACAGGGAGATCTGTTCATCAAATGGATTATGTGGTGGACTTCCTACAAGACATGGGTAACATTTACAGGGATTGCTCTGAGTCTTTAATGAGCACCCTTTCCACCCCTTGAGCCCTAAAGTAGGCTGAGCTGAGCTGCACTGCCTTGGGTGGATCTCTGTGCCTTCAGTGAATTGCACAGGATTTCAATGCCAGTTCTGAACTCAGCTGCTGCAGACAGGCAGAGGGGAGGTCAGAAGCTGAGCCATGTGTAGGAGTCATAGTATTCAACTTAGCCATAGCACCTATCCTGTATTGCTGTTTCATGACATACCATGCACGATGGCTTGGGATACCATGTGCAGATGTGTTACCAGCTGTCTGTCTCCTTGGCTGTGCCTTGTCTTCCTGATAGGTCTGAATTTATGAAAAGTATCTTGGCCTTCATGAAGAGCTGCTTATCTTGGGGAAGGATTCTTCTTTGTTATGTCTCCAGTCCAACCTTTTTTTTATATAATCTGCTCCCAATATTTTGCACAGGCCACTGCTTCTGGTGTTGGTGTTGTCAAGTCTTGTGTGGTGCATTGTGGTGTTACAGGGTATCTCAGGAGATGATCTATGGTTTGCTTCTGACACAGGAAGGATTGTGAACACGCACTGTTCAGAAAGACAGGCTGCTGCTTGGGAGAGGAGGACTGTGAGGTTGAGTTCAATAGAGAAGTCCCTATGGTGATACTACTCCTTTATATTGTATCAGGATGCTTACTCTTCCTTTCATCAGCCTGAAACATTGTGACCACTGTCCTTCACTCCATGTCCCACTTCCTTGCTGGAGTTAGTCTGAGTTTTTTATCTGGACAGTACACAGTTTTAATTCAGTGTAGTCCTTAGGTATTAAACCACACTCCCCTGCTCCCCACAGCATCTTGCCTGAGTTTAATGATAATATCTTTGCTTTTATCTCCAAGATTGCCAGGCTGTAAGGAGAGACTTTGCAGCCCAGAGACCCTGTTACAGCACGCCCTTCAGCATTGTGGGTGCCTCCAGCACTGTGTAAATCTGTCTTCAGGCTGGAGCCCAGGCCTTCCTATTTGAGTTAGAATGCTCTGCCCATAGCCATTGACTCCTTACTTCCCTCCCCCTCCCAGTTCTTTCTTTGGGGGTTTGCCCATTTGGCCCTCTCCAGCAAGATTGTGAGACCCCTTTGCTGCTGCTGAGGGTTGGGGCACTCAGGACCTTGCAGAAAGATGTTCTTTGTTTCTGTGCCAGTCATGCTGGGCATTAGGCCAATTTGAGATGAATATTGTTATGATGGAGAGGGTCCCAGGTCTTGTTGTGTATAGACAGATAAACATCAATATTGCTGGAAAGGTGTTAGTGTGTTATGTATACACTTACACCTTTCGTCCTTTGCAAACTATGGCACAGCATGTCTTCTCAGAGACGGTAGTGAAAGCTTTAATTCACTGAGTTGTTAGCAGTTAAAACTTCAAAGAAAAAAGGGCCTATTCTTTCTGAAGAACAAGGGAGTGGCTCACTTCATTTTTTGATGTTGAGTCCCTTCACTGTTTTTAAAGAATTAAATTCCTGCATATAAGGAGAGAGGGCTCAAGAGTGATAGAGAATAGACCTGCACTGCCTTGGGGTGCTTTATTGTTTTCTATGCACTGGTTTGTGGGATCCAATCAGTATTGTATGGATTACAGCCTATAGTATCTTTTGCAGTGGGGAAAATACAGGACTTGTTTGTAGTGAAGGTACTGGGTATGTTTTACTGAGGCTAGGGGATGCAGATGGCCTCCTGGAGTTCTTCCCAGTTCTCTAGATTCCAGACAAATAGAGCATGGACTGGTTGCTGTCATGCTTTAAGCTGACCATGGAGTTCTGGCCTAGTCTAAACTATCATGGACTAGCCTGCTGACTGATATACAATACAAGGCCTCATTGTAATTCTCTTTTGTCCTGGGAGCAGGAGGAAAGAGGAATGTATCTGATAGAGTTTGCCAAGCCACCTGCACTGGGTGAAAAGTATCCAGCATATGTGCAAAAAACATCCAAGGATGACATCCTTGAGTATAGCCATGGAATGAGTCACTGCATACTCCCTGGAGACAAAGTTCTGGCACCCTGGGAATCAGACATGGTGAGATATGGCCCTGGCACTGTTGTACTGGGCATTGAGACCAGGGATCCGCTGAGAGGTAAGAATGAAGTTAACCTGCTCTTGCTACCCTTGCTCAGGGACACAATTGGGGTGGATTGCATCCTTCCCCACTTTGATTTCTGCTCCACCCAGTTTAAAACCCAACTGCCTGGCAGTAGAATCAGCATTTCTGTTCAGGCAGTGCTGAGGGAGTCAGTTGACTTCATGGTTCATTATAATCTGACTCCTCCTAAACTCTTTGTTCCACAGGTGTTGATGACCCTCTCTCCTTCTTTAATGGTTTTGATGTTCCACTAATCAAGCTACCTTTTCTTCTGCAATTTTGCTGCTCTTGATAATGTAGTTCCTATTTCACAGCCAGACAGACTGTTTTTAATTTATTCCTGTAAAGTTATATTTGTTTTTGCATGTCTTAAACTGAATAATATAGCCCTAGGCCCCTAACATATGACTAAGGCTTCTAGTGTCTTTTTACCTGGAGAAAAAATGTGTGTGTGTGATGTGATAATGATGTACTTGACCATGTGCACCCCTCTTTTTCAAAATCCCAGATCTGCCCAAAGAACGTACTGTGTTATTATGACAGTGAATGCTGTGGTGGATGGTGATGTCATACAAGCATCAGTGCAATTTGTATTGTTTATTTAAAAATACAGTTTCCATAAAATGCAGTAGGAAAAACTAATATGGCTCTTAAGTGCTTGAGCGTGAGAGCATGACATCCCCGATTTACCTGTGTTAAGATCGGGACTTGTTAACTTTCACCTTCACTATCCACTATGTCTATTCTTGTATCAGCTATTAATTAAACTAACTCAGTGGTTCTCAACTTCTTTAGACTCAAGGCACCCCTTGGAAGATGCCAGCTCAGTTTTCACTAATTTGTCGCCTACAGAAAAAATATTTAATAGAGTTTGTCTGTTGCAAAGAACACAAAGACCATAACTATGCATTTCTATTTGAAATTTCTGGGCTTAATTTGTGAATTGTTTTTATAAACCTAACAGTGCTAACAATGTGTGGTACCCTGCAACACCCTTGAAAGCATCTGAAGGCACCCTGGTTAAGAATCACTGAACTAGCTCCTAAAACATGGACCCACCCATTTCTAAGGAAGTGAAAGACAATGTCCTGGTCCTAGGACTTGATATGTTTCATAGTTTCTAGGGTCGGAAGGGACCTGAGAAGCTCATCCAGTCCGACCCCCTGCCATGGCAGGAAAGAGCACTGGGGTCAAACGACCCCAGCAAGGTGTCGATTCAACCTCCTCTTAAAAACCCCCAAGGTAGGAGCCTGCACCACCTCCCTTGGAAGTTGGTTCCAGACCCTAGCCGCCCTGACCGTGAAATAGCGCCTTCTGATGTGTAACCTAAACCTACCCTCTGCTAGCTTGTGACCGTTGTTCCTGGTCACTCCTGGCTGTGCTCGGGGGAACAGTGACTCCCCCAATGCCTTCTGATCCCCCCTGACCAGTTTGTAACAGGCCACAAGATCCCCCCTCAGCCTTCTCTTGTGGAGGCTGAACAGGTTCAGGTCCCGTAGTCT